GCAGTCCCTCACTCCCAAGCGTATCATGAGGAGACTGTAATACACGTGTTTAAGAGACCACTGTGCAGCACTGTGATAGAGGTTAGAGACAGGTGCCATGACTATGAAATCTTCTTCCCATACACCACGTAGTTAGTACTCGAGCAAGCGGAGGAGGTACCCATAACCCTGAAGTTTTGATTACCCTCTTACTCAGCTAGCTTTTTTTCCCAAGAAATTTGTGGCCTATATCTTTTCAATGTTTGATATTGTCACTGGATTCTTTTACCTCTTTTTTGTGAAACTTTCTTACACTTTTAGGCAGGATTTATTTGCTATAATTACAAAAAAGAAAGAAGGCAAACATGAGAAGGAAAAAAAAGGCTCTGTGTAACCAAGGAGCTTGTGAGGTGTTAACACCACAGAGGTCATATATAAAATCTGCCTGATTTATTTTCTAATTTGCTGACTCTAGGCCAAGCCCGCTGCCTCCTGGCCCAGCCTCTGAGTACATGTACAAATGGACACAAGCAGATGCAAATCAGTTTGTTGTCATCGTGGTTGGCTCCATATCCCACATCATCAGGCAAGGGAAGCCCGGTGAAGCGGGGCTCCAAATTGGGGCACTGAAAAGACTGGCAGAGGCTGGACCATCAGGGAAGCCGTTTGAAAACCAGACTTCATTACATGGGCAAAACTGACTTTGCACCTTCAATGCACATTTAAATCATGTTCATACTTCACATCCTGGGCAGGGCACAGTGTTAGCGCACCCAGACACCTTGCAGTAAATGTTCACAGAGAAATGCAAAATGTAGATGGGGCAAAGGTAGGGAAGGAAGGAAGGGAGAAAGAAAGAAAAGAGGAAAGAAGACAACGAGTCAGGAATTTAAAGGACTGAAGCAAGAAAGTGGTAGAGGAAGAGAAGGGGGGAAAGAAAGTGATACAAGAAGATAGACCGGAGAGAATTAAAAGGAGAAAAGAATATGGAAGGAAAATGAGGGAAGGAAGGATAGAAGAAAGGGTAGACAGAAAGAGGGGAAAGGAAAGAAATGTAGCAATGTTAGCTAAAGCATTCCAGAGGAAAGGGTAGACAGAAAGAGGGGAAAGGAAAGACATGTAGCAATGTTAGCTAAAGCATTCCAGAGGAAAGGGTAGACAGAAAGAGGGGAAAGGAAAGACATGTAGCAATGTTAGCTAAAGCATTCCAGAGGAAAGGGTAGACAGAAAGAGGGGAAAGGAAAGAAATGTAGCAATGTTAGCTAAAGCATTCCAGAGGAAAGGGTTGACAGAAAGAGGGGAAAGGAAAGACATGTAGCAATGTTAGCTAAAGCATTCCAGAGGAAAGGGTAGACAGAAAGAGGAGAAAGGAAAGACATGTAGCAATGTTAGCTAAAGCATTCCAGAGGAAAGCCACCAGAAGAAGCATGGACTTGAGGGTACGTTACTGTTAATCGTGACTCTCAGATTTCACCCTTCTCTAACTCCTGTCTCACAAAATATCTTCCCTACCCAATTTAGCACTGTATTAGCTCACGTCTGATTCTCAAGTTATTTCATAACTGGGCTACAAGCTTGTTGAGAACACGGTTCTAACTTAGATTTCTTTTGTACCTTGACCATTTCCTGTTCCTGTCTGGTCCCTAAGACAGTGCTGGGTACATGAAAAGCAATGAGTCATCCCAGCATTCGTTAGGTCCCTGCCAGCCTTACCAGCTTCTCTCACTGTGGTGTGCAACTTCTTTTTTGTTCTTCAGTCAAGCGGGAAGTACTGTCATCTCTGCTGTCATGTTTTCCAGAAGTGCCACGATATCTAAAACACACGTTCTTTACAGTCTGTCTAAAGAATCGCTCGTTGATATTATTGTGACAGGTTGCTCTTAAGGAGAACCCCAGAATATGCATGCTATTAAAGATCCTTAGGTGGGCAATCTCACAAACACTACTGAGAACATTTCACCCACCCTCACCACCTGGCTAGAGTCTGGGGAAGAATGCCATCCAATTAAAGCAGGATTTGAATCTCCTTTGCATAGCCAAGACGTTTAAATTTTGTCTTTGCAGAGGTAGTATGCAAGTGACTTTTCCCCTCTGGTGGGAAATGTAACACATGCCCATGACCTCCAAAGTTGGTCACAGTGGTGTCGTGCCAAAATAGCAGGTCCTTCTATATCCTCAAACCTCTGTGGCCACATTACACCGAGTCTGGTTTTCAGAACGAAATCTTCCTCACTATGGGCCTTGGGAAGAAGCTGCAGGTGTGTAGAGGGAGCAGCCAGACACGCTTGTAAAATGGAGCCTTCATCTCCTAAAGGATACATAAACAGGGAAGAGCAGACAGACCCCTCCTCCTCACTGTGAGAAGTATTCATATGCTAATGCTCAAGTCAAATGTATCTTCTGGGCTGCTTAGGACAGACAAGAAGTTGGGCCCGATGGGCCCTGGGGCTGACAGGGAAGATTCTGTGCATTGATCAGAAACCATTTTCATGAAAGTGTTGCCTATTTTGAAGAGTTTGCCTGCTGTGCTCTGGGCATGATTTTTGACTCAGCAAAGCTTCAGAAGCCATCGTCCCCTAGCCCTTGCCCTGCTTCCTCCGAATCGATCTTTCTGACTTTTTCAAGAGTTTCTGATACAAGAGAACCGAGTGAATGAGAGTGGGTAATTTAGATAAGACCAGGAAGAGAAATATGCAAATGTCATTATCAAGAGCAGGAATAACATTTAACTGGAAAATAGCCTATTACTGGGCTACATGGTTTTAGGAAGCCATGTGCAATGTACATGCCCAGCATAATTTAAATGAATTCCTTCCATTTGTAGTCATTATTATGCCCATATGTAGCCTTTGGGGAAATCCTAACAACAGTGACATTACTGGACTGGGTTGAGCCTGCTTTCCCTCCTCTCATCAGTACAGGGTGGGCACTGGATTTTGCTCTCTGGATTAAAAAGTCTAAATATCCTCTCAGCTTCACTGGAATAGAAAGAACATGTGGTCTGATCCCTGGTCCCCAGCAGTTTGGAGCACTTTTCAATATACTTTCTACCCCAGGCATGAGGAGGAAAGCTGACAGCTCTGCTGGGCGTTTCATTCAGGAGATGGAGGGTTATCTGGGGGTAGACGGGGGACACCTCGTGTGTTTCCTCTGTGAGGGAAATACTTTCATCATCTTCCAAAATAAAAGTACCAGTCTGGTAAGATGCAATTCCCTTGGCTGAATCCAGAAAGGCCCATCATCTAATGGCCAGGGACCAGGCATATGAATTCTCTCTCTCCTAAGACACTGATAAGGGAGTCACAAATCTGTTACTTGAGCCCTGAGGATAAGAATAAAACAAGAGCTCTCACGCCCCCGCCCCCAACAAATCAATTCATTATTGATCAATCCCTTCCCGTTCCCAGGAGATGATTTTCACACACACCCGCACGCGCACACACTTCACTGGTGATCATCATAGGTGTCAGCCTGTGATGATGGCGTGGAGAAAACAGTCCTGAAATTCTCTGATAAAAATGACAAGTGGATTCTTGGCTATTTCAATTCCTACTAAAACAGCAACCTCTTCTCAACAAAGACGTCCCAATCGGGACTTCAGAAAGAGGAGAACAGAAATGTCAACAATGCAAACAGGAATCATTTCTTGAGGGCTTATTCTCTGCCAGACACACTGGTGCAAGCCGGGTTTTGTTTAATCCTCCAGGCAAAGGTGGCCGTGCTATTAAGGAACAATGGTACTAGTGAAGGGGAAGCAACAGCAGAGAAATCCTTCCAATCTGTGTCACAGCAGAGTAACGTGGTGCAGCAAGTCCTTCTCATTTCATCTCAATTTCCCAGGAACGCTTTCATGTTAAAGGGGAAACCACAGAGAAAACAACGGATGATTCTGAACCTCAAGAATCTAAAAAGCCTCTAACTCCTTTCACCCTGTCTTGTTCTACCCCGTCATAAAAGGCATGAATCTGTTTGACGGAAAAGATTCCTCTCAAAGAGGAAGTTAGGTTCATTTAAGAGGTTCAACAGTGTTGGGAAGATTATTTGAATCAAAATAAGAACACAAGGCAGTCTTTCGATGCGTGCTGGCCACTGAAAATTGGGCATGGTTTATCTGTGTCTGTTCAGGGACACAGCACTGCAGGCTGCTGGTCTGGTCGTACCGATCCCATGCATTTTTCTGTGCTCTATGGAGGACCTTCTTACTTATTTCCATTTTTCTTTAGGACAAAAATTGACAGGTGACTCACTGGCTTTTCTAGCTTCTCTGTTTTGCTTCTGTGTTCACCCTGCTCCTGGGCTTCCCTAGTATTGGTTAACAATATTGTTTTATTTTGACAGGGCCCTTCCCATTGTTCATATGAATTTGACACATAAATCATATTGCCATTGTCCCTTCTCTTTGGGCATACAAATACTGCAATGGGCTAGGAGTACAGCTCATTTGCAGATGGGAAAAACTGAGCTTCAGGGAGGTGAGGAATGGTGTCTGCCTCTGGATGTGAGCCTGGAGGGGTACAGCTGAGAAGAACTTTGTAGTCATTTTTTTCCACTTAGAGAACAATGGTGAAAAACAGCCATTAATACAGCTTTCTTGAGTCACAGAAGATCTTTGTATTATTTGGGATGATCTTTCCTCAATTGTGTGAAGTCCAGAATATGGAATCCTATAAGAATATGGTCTAAGGATAATGCCCTATTAGCCGCTCTCACCTGATTTCACCCTTACTCTGGGAACTTTCAGGTGAACTCATACTTTTAAATCTCTTAAGCTTTTCAAATTAATTTGGCATCTGACGAAAGTCATTATCATTTTGGATAACTGCTTTTCTTTCTACAAAGACAAAAGCAAGCAAAAAGTAGAGAACTATCTGCCAAAAACTGAGGTCATTGCAAAAGAGAAGGGCTGATAACCCCCCAGAGGCTGTTACATCCCTAGTGCAACTTATGAAGAGTCCACCTGCAGCCAGCAATCGACACTCTAAATTTTAGCAATGAAAGTTCACTCGAGAAAAATAATTTACCTTGGAGTCCAGTTGCTGCATGTAGGACCAAAGATATTCTATATTGGCTCCGAAAGGATGGACATGAAGAAACGTTGATATGATACCTGAATTAAAAAGGCAAACATTGGAAATTATTCAAAGGCAAAAGAGAGTCTTCGTTAAATAATGCTATCTAACCCCAGTGACTGGTCTGCCAGACTGAGTTATGGTCTTGCCATTTCTAGCAGCCATCAACAAACATTCAATAATAGCACATTCTGAAGACAGAGTAACATGGCAAACAGAACACTTTATCTCCTGAAATGACAGTAGTTAGCAAAGCTAGACTCTGAGATAATATACAGCTGAATAAAGGTATTTCAAAACAGAGACTCCTGGAAGCATTTCAACTACCAATTTTATGCTTGATTTACCAATATAAAATTACAGTTATTGGAAGGATAAAATTATCTTTGCTTTCCCTCAGCGGACTTTGCACTATGAAAATGGCTCATACAACTGTGTCAGAAATCACACTGCCTCAAATTTTCCTGATCATTACAGTTGCCAGTTATGAGAAGTATTTAATCTATGTTTCCCCCAACTGTCATTGAAGGAAGCCCAAATTCTTCCCGAAACATTTGCTGTTTTCCCTGGTCGTTGTTCTTGTTTAAAAGGAGCCAACTCATTCTCCCCTTCCTGCTGCTGTAATTTACAAGATCATTTTAAAAGGTCAGAGAATGGATGGTTTGGCTGCAGTTTGATTATAAATCATAAGGCTTTTCCATCATGAAAGTACACTGTCAACACTGTACTGACCAATGCAAAGCTGGATGTTGGTGTCGGGAATGAAGTGAAAAGCATTACCTTCCTCTTCTCCCTGCTCCTGGATCCAAAATCAAAATGGTGAACATGATCAACTCCACAGACTATAGACTGTTTTTTGTTAAGAAGTTGTGCTCTTGATATTCACAATAGCAAAAACACGGAATCAGGTGTTCATCAGTGGTGGATTGGATAAAGAAACTGTGGTATGTATATACCATGGAATACTATGCAGCCATAAAAAAGAATGAAATCATGCCCTTTGTGGCAACATCAGTACAGCTGGAAGCCATTATCCTGAGTGAACTAATGCAGAAATAAAACCAAATATTCCCTGTTCTTGTAAGTGGGAGCTTAGTACTCATGGACAGAAGAAGGGGAACAGGAGACACTGGGGACTGCTAAAGCTGGGAGACAGGGACGAGGGTAAGGGCTGAGAATCTGTCTATTAGGGATAATGCTCACTACCAGGAAGATGGGTTCAGTCATACCCCAAACCTTAGAATCATGCACTAGGCCTCTGTAACAATCCTGCACATGTACCCCTGGGTTCTAAAATAAAAGTTGAAAAAGAAAAAAGAGAAAAGTTGTGCTCAGACTGCTGTTTTTAGCATTCTACTAAACAGGTTTCACAGGTTTCAAGATGAATAAACCTGAGGGTGAGGCTTCATGTTCTGATTTTTGTGAGCCTTCATGCTTGGAAGCCAAAGGTCACAGGGCAGACCCTCGTCTGTATGAAATGCAAACGGGTGGGCATAGGCGCACACAGCATTCTTGTACTAGGTCATCCTATATTTGTAGGTGACCCTGAATTGATCTGCCATAGGGTCTCATGGCTCCTGATGCTATGAGATGAGTGTCAAGATTTTAAAGAAAAGTAACCAGTTCATCCTTAGGCTGAGACAGAGAACCGGACTCTCCAAGACCTGTCTTCAGAATACTGCTTTTCCAGGGCTTCTGGAGGTGTACAGTGAGATGGGGAGGTAGAAACAATTCCCACATTTCCCTTAAAGGTAGAATCTCAGTTTTTAAAGACTGACCTGTTCTTTCTGAGATACAAAGAACTACCATTTTATTCTGAGGTTATATTCTTCCTTTTTTCTTGTCAAAATGTCCTTTTTTGAAATAATGGCAATGGTAGAAGGTAATGATGGTACTTTAAAAGTATCTTTAAGTGGCAAAATAGCCACTTTTAATGTATTCAGGTAGCATTGTGTTGTCCCCTCCCCTTATTTATTTACTTATATTTTAATTTTAGAGACCTGGCAGCTACTTCCCTGGGTCTGAAATTCTCAACTCTGGTGAAGTGGCATTGTAAGTAATTCTATTACTAATGAGAGTTAAAATACAAAAGCTCATGAGGGATTTCTTTCAGAAAATTAAAATAGAACTATTTAAAAATGATTACTTTCATTTGCATTTCTTGTTTAAAAACTTTAATTGATATATAATAGTTGTACATATTTTTGGGGTACATGGCGTGTTTTAAAACCTGTATACAATGTGTAATGATAAAATCGGGGTAACTGGCATGGCCGTCACCTCAGGCATTTATCATTTCTTTGTGCTGAGAGCACCCACAGCTTTGCTTTTAGCTATTTGGAAGTATACAGTAAATTATTGTTAACTATAATTTCCCTACTGTACTATCAAATACTGGAGCTTAGTCTTGTTTTTTGAATGAGAGAGTAAAGGCTGAATCACAATTTGTGTAGAGGGAATCCCCTCTGTTTCAGGATGGTGAGTGGGGCTTTCACTGACCATCCCAGGTACTGTGGCCACCACTTTCCACAGAGAGCCTCCCACAAGTGATGGGCAAGAGGAGGACAGGGGAGGGAGAAGGAAGAGTCAGCTTTGGCTTTGTGAGCAAGTGAGGGGATGCTCCTAGTTGGAAGCTTTTTCTCTTGCCCACAGGGTTCTCCCAGGGAGATGAGGGCTGCTGCAAGGTGGGGAGCAGCATTCCTTGGGTGGACATATGCTTAAGCAGCAGGGCTGAGACAGGGAGTGGCAGTGGCACTGCAGACTTTGGGGTGACAAGGGTGTGTGAGTCTCCCATGGGGAAAGAGGGCATAAGACTTAAGCAGTCTTACGTAAACTACCCCAGGCACCCGAGCAAATAGATAACAGCGTTTTTCTTATTATCCCTCCTGGATGGAGAGTCTTCAACATCTCCTGCAAAACCTACAGCCTCCTGTAAATGCCCACGAGTGTTTGGTTATCAATTTAAATGTCTTTAGTAGGATGAATAGGGCAAGTCAGAGGAGGATGGGGTGGGTTGGGGGAAAGGTTGATAACTCTTAGCCTAGGAGATCAAGTGTTGACATGGGTAATTTAGGGACACCAGAAATGGGAGGACCTAGAGTGGCCTCTTTTGTTGTACCCTCTGTGAACATGGATTTGCTCCTCCACTATCTGCTGTCACCCCTGATCCTGGGTCTGCACCCCAAAGAGCTGTGCTCTTAGTGTTTGTGTGTTCTGGTTCCATATCCAGAATACAGTGCACGTTTACAACAGGTATATGTTGAATGTATTTATTTGCCAGACCTGGAAATTGCCAGCATACTTGTTTAAAATTTCTATTAGTCTATTATTGATACATGGGGATAAATAAGAACCTTAAACATTTCTACAAGTAGTAACAGATCTTTCAAAAACCAGGTAATTTTGAGGTATTATTCACTGGCAATTCTTACTCTTAACCCATCCTGTCATGGATTTAGAAGGAGAGTAACTTGGATGTTTTGGGCAAGGAAAATCTTCACTGAAACGGTTTTTCTCATAACTAAGGGGAAAATGCTTACATGATTTCTGTGTACTTTTCTAAAACCAGATTAGAAATCCTGATGTGGACTTGAGTGTTCTTTGGAGGGTATTCAGAACCATCTCTGTGGTAGCTGATATTAAGAAGCCATTAGCTTTTCCTTATAAGAGTTCAGCAATTGCCACTAGATATATGTAGGGCCAAGGCAGGCAGTCACATAAAGGGTTCCCAAGCTTTTCCTGTGGATGACAACCCAATTATCCAGTGTTGTTGGAGACACAGTGGAAAGGAAAGCATGAGTCATCATCCTCCCCAGTAACTTGCCTCTCCTCAGCCCAACTCCCACTCCTGCATCTGCCCATCCCAGGAGCACCACAGAAGCATCAGTCATGCCACTTGAGAAAATGTTTCTAGGCCCTGTGATTTGGGATCAGGTTCATTTGAGGGGATCTTCCTAAATAAACAAGTAAAGTGTCTTTGCAGCTTCTTTAAAGGAACTGGGATATTCCCTGGGGTTGGAAAAAGGATGGCTGTAACTCAAAAGCTAATGAAAAATGCCACAAACCTGGAAAATTGAGACTATCTTATGGTCCTCTGGAAGGGACCAAAAGGCTTGATAAAAGGAACACTAGGAGTGGAGGGTGCGGGATTTAGCTGTTACTGAACTGGTGGATCTCCAAAGGGATGGCTCAACAGTTGGTCTTGCTTGTTTCCATGGAGATGGAGAAGGCCTTCATATTTGAGAATGGGTTTCCAACAAGTGGAAAAAAACATCTTAAGTAGCTAATTTTAAAAAGTTTTAAAAGAACGACGGAGGTTGTTTGTACTCTTGGGCTTTTGGCACATCCTGGAATCTTAAAAACTACTTTAGAAAGATACGCTAACCAGCTCTGGATGTCTGTGGCAAATCTCGTTAGGAAGGCCCATTGAAAGTGGATACCCAAAAGCACTGTGAGCTACTCCCATCAAAACCAGCTAGTTTATTTTCACTACTGGGCCTCACTAAGACTAAGGAAGCAGTATTTAAATTAACCAAATAGGGCCAGATTTGTACTACTTCATCACTTATTTTATACTTTCCACACTGAGCAGCCAGGAGGTGGTGAGGTGCTACAGGCACAGCATTGTATACAACAGGCAAAGGGCTGGTCCTGTGCAACTTTTATTCTAGGTGAGCAACACAGATAATAAACACAAAGATGAAAAATACATATTTTTAGATAGTGCTTAGCACAATGAAGAAAATAAATCAGGGAAGAGGACAGAAGGGAAACCTGCAGCTTGCTGGAGTGCTACTTTACACAAAGCGGATGTGGTTTGGCTATGTCCCCACCCAAATCTCATCTAGAATGATTGCTCCCATAATTCCCACATGTTGTGGGATGGACCCAGTGGAAGATAATTGAATCATAGGGGTAGTTTCCCCATACTGTTCTCATGGTAGTGAATAAGTCTCACAGGATCTGATGGTTTGATAAGGGGAAACCTCTTTCACTTGGTTCTCACTTCTCTCGTTGGCTGCCATGTAAGACATGCCTT